TAAAATAAAAAAGTAAAGGTATCCCTGTAACAGGCCGTGGAGGCCCATAGGGTTGTGAGAGGTCGATGCTCCCACATTATCTAGAGAATCGGCTCATAGACGGTGGCAAGGTTGTCAGCCCTACGCGCCGGCCGCTCTTTACCCCCAAGAATATTCTTGGTACTCATTTCTGTTAGAGGCTGAGTCGACCCCAGGGCCATATAGTGCGGCCTCAACCAACTACGCCACCGTATGGCCCTCAGGCATCTTCTATCTTGCTAAAATTGTTGCACTGTATGTCAAAATTTCATCTCGCGTGTGAACTCGATATTTCCTGTTTAAAATAAACTGAACTTAATTCAGATTAATTAACATGCCAACATTTTCCTTATGGTAGTCGTCCATTCGTTTAAAATATATTTGACTATCTCCCTTTGCGGTGTTGATATGTGTGTTATTTGTACAGTTCGTAAGGAGTTTAATGTAGTGTAATCACTTTTGTTATGTTTGCGTCTTTGGCTGCAGGTTCCTCTACGCTGCCACAGTATTTGTGTTGTTAACTGGTCTGTGAGTGTAGATGTAGTTGTACATAATAACTACGTACACAGACCAATTAATAGCACAACTTCTCTGGCAGCGTTGAAGAGCCCACAGCAAAAGATAACAAAACTGCAATAACAATACATCAACATCTTTACGATCTACATAAACAACACACATAATATCAACACCGCAAAGGGAATATTGTGTAAATAAATCCCAAACAAAGATAGTCAAACAAATATATTTTAAACAAATGGACGACTACCATAAGGAAAATGTTGGCATGTTAATTAATCTGAATTAAGTTCAGTTTATTTTAAACAGGAAATATCGTGTTCACACGCGAGATGAAATTTTGACATACAGTGCAACAATTTTAGCAAGATAGAAGATGCCTGAGGGCCATACGGTGGCGTAGTTGGTTGAGGCCGCACTATATGGCCCTGGGGTCGACTCAGCCTCTAACAGAAATGAGTACCAAGAATATTCTTGGGGGTAAAGAGCGGCCGGCGCGTAGGGCTGACAACCTTGCCACCGTCTATGAGCCGATTCTCTAGATAATGTGGGAGCATCGACCTCTCACAACCCTATGGGCCTCCACGGCCTGTTACAGGGATATCTTTACTTTTTTATTTTATTTTATATATATATATTTTTTTTACTTTTAGAAGGTACCTGATGATGGCCGTATACGGCCGAAACATGGAAGTGTGGAAGAAGGGTGACTAGATAGTAAGTTGCATTTAAGGCAGAAATATATGTGAAATAACTTGTACATTATGTTGCATGCCTTGTGCATCGAACCTTTATTATATAAGTATTGTATTTATTGTAGTATTTATAATATACTACTAATAATAAGGCGTAAGCGGAAACATAATGTTGACTAGATGCTGGAGGAATCGTGCGTGAGGCTGTGAACTGGATTCATTTGGCTCGATAAGGAGTCAGTTTTGGCCACATGTGAACACTGTTACGAAAGCCCTGCTAGAAGCTTGCGTGTCTGCGAGAGGATTGCTCTAAACTCTCTAGTCCCTGGGGCACTGCAGCGGGTCGAAGCCCAAGATTAATTACCCTAACCTGGGGTTTCACATTTTCTCTACGTGAAGACTGGGTCTGTGAGTGAAAGAGAGTATAGACGCTCATTCCTCGTTCCTAACAATAATTCATGGTCGTCATTGTTTGCCGTAGCAGAAGCAAAGCTTGTTTATTGTAAAAAGCACCAGATGTTTCAAAAGTCCTTCATGATTTTATGATTTACATCTGTGCGGATAGACACTTCAAGGCGAAGATTTTTTTATTCATAACTTCCAGACATAGCAGCAGGAATGCTCATAGCGATATCTCTGCCTTGCGAAGGGCGATATATTTACTGCTGTCCTTTGAACTTTAAAATAATTACACTAGAATGAAGGATTATGCAGTTCAAGCAGGATATGAATATAACCCTTGGTCGTGCTTAGACTTGTATGAGTATTCAATGCTGTTTAATTACTATACAAACATATTTTAATAATAAAAATGTTAAATATAAATCATAGTAGTAGGAACGAATACAGAGTTTATTCCACAGAAATTTTCTTATTTTGAGGTACATAAAATCATAAATAAAATATGTATATAAAAATTACGAACACAGAACGCGGCATTCAAATATTTCGTGACTCAATTTCTGTCCGAATCATACTAACAGAAGTCGATGTTTTTCAAGTTTTTCCACCATACCAAAAGAAGTGATATCTATTGCCATTTTTAGGTATTTTTCGAATTTTTAAGGACACACAAGGGGGCTTATGATCATATATCGGTCTGTGTGTTCCAGGATCTGTCCCCTTTATAACAGAATTTTAAAGATTTGACAGATTTCTTATGACTTGGAAGGTACATGAGGAACCATATTCCGTTTTGTACCGGGTGTCCGAATGAAAGTTATCCAAAATATAAAATTGATATATCGGAAACTAATTGCAGTACCCGTGTCAGTTTTATGTAATCGGAAAGGAAAACTCTGAAAGTTTTTTTCATGCCCGGTTTACGCGCAAGCGCCGCTACAATTCAGTCACAATGTTAGGAATCGCCTGGACAGAGATATGGCTGGGAGATGGATCGGCAGAAGTGGACCATAGGTCACCAGATTTAACCCCATTGGATTTTCTTGTGGGGTTATGTGAAGAACATTTTCCACCAGGTTAAGATCAATGACTTTCAACACCTGAAAGCTCCTACAAGGGACGCTGTGGCTACCGTAACACCAAACATGCTTCAAGCAGTGTGGAACGAGGTCGAATATCGGCTGGATATTGTTCGTGCCACCAAGAGAGCCCACATTGAAATGTACTGAGAAAGTTATATACTCAGAAAAGAACTTTAATAGTTCCCCTATGTATTGGTGTAACCCATAAATATGTATAAGAAATGCTTTCTGAGATATAATTATTTTATTTTCGATACATTTCATCCGGACACTCTGTATATATATATATTTTTTTTACAATAATCAGCACTAACACGAGCCGAGAGGAATTTTTGTGGTACAGACTACACTATTGTCATCACCGAGGTCAAAGCGTTTAAATTTTGTTGTAGTACCTCTTAAGAACAAGCATTGTGTTGGTGGAAGTTTTATATAATGTACAATACACATATTGCTTGAGATCTGTATTAATCTTGCGTTTCTCTGCAGTAACTAACATTCATTTCAATTTATGCTGACAGACTACAAACATTAAGTTACTAACAAGTTTTTTTTTTATTTTTACTTTTTAAAAACTACAAATACAGTGACGGTTATAGCAATAAAATACCTGGTTATTTTAATATATCGAAAATCTATATTATAAGAATTATGCACAAGATAGGACCACGAAGTTGTGTTAATAAACCAGCGAAAAACCCGTCTAGAATTAAAAAAGGAAAATTGATACAATTTGACACAACAAAGGTCGAAACTATATACCTACTGAAAACACTAATACATACAGAAGCACTGCCTTTTAATGCTACGACCTTATATTTCTGTCGAAGCTGACTGCAATTAGCACTGCAGTCGATTGTCATAGAAGTTACAGGCTGGCAAATTATGGAACAAAATTGTCCGTCTTAAATTATCTGTAGATAGTTCCTGCCAGCATCATTCTAATTATGAAATATTGGAGGGGAACAGACATCAAGAATTCTTTGCATAACATTAAATAATTTTAAACTGAAAGTCAGATATCCTAGACACTCTCATGATATTCATGACGTCTGCTGTATTGGACAGGAGCTTCCCTTGTCCTAATTTTTTGTCGAATCGCTAAACTTGATGTAGCGTTTGACACCCGAGGTGAGAAGTATTGACTAGTTTCCGATATTACAGACGTCGCAATCAATGAATTTGTTTCTCCAGGCTCAGAGCGCGAGCCTGACGTCGAACACAGGAGCCTTATTGTGAAGAAGTAGACAAACTCGATTCCGGCAATAAAACTGAAGCCGAGGAACAGTGACAGAATTCCGCCCAGTGAACCTGCAACATACACGTAGATTTATCGAGCATTATCCAGAGATTCTGTAGTAAAGTAGGTACAGGGAAACACTTCCTTCATGCATTATTATTCACAACGGTCTGAATATAGGAGATGCTTTATTGCTATTGCTTTTCAATCTTTATTTGAATTTCTAGGATTTGATACTCTTACAGCGGTGTGTATGAAGTGTTCTATCTTCTGGGTTATAAAGCCGTGTAGTCCGTTGGAAGTCAACCGACATTTCGGAGGAACATATCGCCTCCATCTTCAGGTTCGAAGAATAAGCCAAGCAAGAAACCAGGATGATACAGGTAGAAAGCAGGGCTCAGCTTCCTCCGAAACATTCATTGACTTTCAGGGGAATACACGGCGTTATATCCCAGGAAATAGAACTCTCTATAGATTGATACCGCTATTGCGGCCATAGAAAACATAGAGGGATCTGAGTTGAATGTGACATGCTGACTACACATCTGTATTGATGTCCATTCGTTGAATGAAAATATATTTACCAGAAGGAGAAATACTGTTTACAATACTGTCTTGCACTACAACAAGAGGCTGATCTGGAAATAAACACAGAGTAAATTGTTTGTTCGTGTCTCAACGTATGATAGCTTATATTTTCTTCGAAAATTTGGAAATGTTCAATTTCTCGGGAACGACAATAGGAAGTACACATTGAGTTCATGAAGGAACAAATAACAGATGAAACTGGGGAATGTTTTACCTTTTCAATTCAGAATAATTTATTTTCTTATCCACAGAAATAAGGATTAAAATATATTTTACAACATATAATTCTATCCTTTCTGTGGTTGAAAATTAATCTCCCATCCTAAGGAAAGAATATGGATTGAGAGAAAATGTGACTGTTGCCTTCCCCATAGCTGCTGCAGTCACATCTGCTTATATTTACCCGTACCCCCTTCCATTTGTTGATGTTGAGGGTAGAAGGTCTTGTATTTGACTCAACAAACACATAGTAAGGGTGCTTACAGTTACAGGTTGCACCACATGGGTATGGATTGGAGATCACTAGCTCTGCTCAGGATCTCAGGATTAGGTAGGTCGGAGATCTGATCTCGGGGTCCTAACAGACAAGAATAATACTGATGCTATACATGGTTCACACTACGATATGACAATTTTTCACTTATAAATTTCTTTTATAAAACACTGAAATGGTAGACATACTGATTTATTCTGCTAGTAATCTTAACTATTGAATCTAATTTACTAGCATATTTACTCTTTAATTAAGTACAATAGACCACTGTAGGTCTTCGGTGTAAGGGCCAAGAAGGCCCACCCCTTATACATTCATTCATTCATTCATTCATATACTCTTTAATTATTTGTGAGTTGCAGTTGCTTTATTAACTCCATCTGTTAAGATAAGTTACATATTCTGATGCCAAAAGTGCTAAGTTTTTTATAATTTGGAATTTAACCAGATTGACGCGGGTTTGCGTCCTCAGAAGTCAAAAGTTATAGATGGTGTCACGTAACTTCGAACAAGGCCCCGCATTCCTAGTCAGATCCCGCGCATGGCTTGTGGTGGGAGGAGTTTCTTAACACTCGTTCTTCCACTGGTCGCCTGTCACTTCTCACAACCTC